AGAAAAGTTTCTCCCGCCCTAAATCCAAGAGAAGAGGGAGAATGAATTTATCAAACTGAAACAGGGAACCCTTAGTGTAGCAGAGTATGAAGGAAAATTTACTAAACTTTCAAAGTATGCTCCCGAACTGGTGACAAATGAGCGAAAAAGGATTAGACGGTTTGTTCAAGGACTTAATGTGGAGATACAAGAGGGCCTGGCCGCAGCCCAAATCTCTACATTTACTGAGGTTTTAGAGAAGGCACAAACGGTTGAAAGTGCAAGGTCTCAAGTGAGAGACTTCCATAGCAGAAAGATAAACTTTTCTAGCCATGCTTCTGGACAAGTTAGTAAAAATGTACAGCCTTCCAAAATGGAAAAAGAAATGGGAGGACCAAGGACTGCTGGACCTTCGAGAGGAGCTTTATCTAGAGGAGGTCGTAGGGGACCGACACAGGCAAGAAGGGCACCTTCTAGCGGTTCAGCGGTGACCCCTCAAGTTTCATGTGGTTACTGCAGAAAACCAAACCATTCTGAAAGTGATTGTTGGAGGAAGTCTGGGAAGTGCCTGGCTTGTGGTAGTACCGAGCATCAGCTTGCGAACTGTCCAAATAAAATGAAGACGGGAGGTGATACCCAAAGGCCAGAAAAGTCAGCTTCTAAGCAAACTAGTGCCGGAGGGAGTCGACCGAAAGTACCGGCTAGGGTTTATGCACTGGACTATCAACAAGTTCCTGAGGCAACTGAGATGGTAGAAGGTACGATTCCGATCTTTCACCATTTACCTAGGGTTTTAATAGATCCAGGTGCTACACATTCTTTTGTAAACTCTAATTTCATGAATGGGATAGACTTGAAACCAATTAATTTACCATATGATCTAGAGGTTAAAACGCCTACTGGGGATCAAAGTCTAATTGCTAATTTGGTGTATCAAGGTTGTGAAATCTGGATTGGGGAACGAAAATTATCGGCTGATTTGATGGGATTGATGATTAAAGGATACGATGTAAATTTAGGAATGGATTGGTTAGCCCGTTATAATGCTCAGCTAAACTGTAGGACGAAGGTTGTGGAGTTGCGTATTCCAGGAGAGGCAACCCTGAAACTGGATGTAAAGGGTAAATTAGCTTCGTCTGCACTTATTTCAGGAATTCGGGCTAGAAAGTTGTTAAGTAAAGGAGCTCAAGGATATTTGGCTTTTCTTATTAACACCCCTAGTGATAAAGTGAATTTGGAGGACATGCCTGTAGTGAAAGATTTTCCTGATATTTTTCCTGAAGAATTGGAGTCTCTACCCCCAGAACGGGAAATAGCCTTTAAGATTGATGTAACTCCGGGAGTAACCCCTATTTCTAGGACGCCATATCGAATGGCTCCAGCCGAATTGAAGGAGTTGAAATTGCAATTGCAAGATTTGTTAGAAAGAGGTTTTATTAAAGAGAGTGATTCTCCGTGGGGAGCCCCAGTTTTGTTTGTTAAGAAAAGGGACGGGAGTTTGAGGCTATGTATAGACTATAGAGGTTTAAATAATGTTACAACTAAGAATAAATACCCACTGCCCCACATTGATGAGTTGTTTGACCAGTTACAAGGGGCTGTAGTATTTTCTAAGTTGGACTTGAGGCAGGGTTATTATCAGTTGAGGATTTTGGAGAAAGATATACCCAAGACTGCTTTTAACTCGAGATATGGGCATTTTGAATTTGCCGTGATGCCATTTGGGTTAACGAATGCTCCTGCTGCTTTTATGGATCTAATGCATAGGGTCTTTAAACCTTATCTAGACCAATTTGTGGTGGTCTTTATTGATGATATATTGGTGTATTCTAAGAATGTGTAAGACCATGAGAAACACTTGATGGTTGTTTTACAGACCTTAAGGGAGCACCAATTGTATGCTAAGTTTAGCAAGTGTGAATTTTGGTTAAAAGAAATGACTTTCTTGGGACACATAATTTCTAAGGAAGGGATTAAAGTGGATCCAGCTAAAGTTGAAGCTGTTTCAAAATGGAAACGACCGGAAAACCCTACCGAGATTCGAAGTTTCATTGGATTAGCAGGGTATTACCGGAGATTCATTCAGGATTTTTCAAATATTGCTGGACCCATGACTGAATTGACCAAGAAAAATAGGAAGTTTATATGGAGTCCTAAGTGTGAGGAAAATTTTCAGGAATTGAAAAGACGGTTAACAAGGGCACCTGTGTTGGCTTTGCCAAACGGAAAAGATAGTTTTGTGGTTTACACAGATGCTTCTAAGGAAGGACTGGGTTGTGTTTGAATGCAAGATGGCAAAGTAATAGCATATGCCTCTAGGAAATTGAAACCACATGAAGGGAATTACCCGACTCATAATTTGGAGTTAGCGGTGGTGGTCTTTGCTTTGAAGAAATGGAGACATTATTTGTATGAGGTAACATCTGAGGTTTTTACAGACCACAAAAGTCTTAAGTACTTGTTTTCTCAAAAGGAGCTGAATTTGAGGCAACGTAGATGGATGGAATTTTTGGAAAACTATGATTGTACTATCAAGTACCATCCAGGGAAATCTAATGTAGTGGCCGATGCCTTGAGTCGTCAAGTACAAATGGCTGGATTGATGATTAAGGAGTTTCAATTATTGGAAGAAGTGAGTTACTGGAATCCTCGATTGGAACCAAGGAAGGTAATTTTGGGGAATATTATAGTAACCTCCACTCTATTGGAACGCATCAAGGAATTTCAAGAAAAGGACACGGAAGTGCAAAAATGGGTGGAAAAGAGTAAAATGGAAGACAATACAGATTTTAATTTGGGGTCAGATGGAATATTGAGGTTTCAGAATCGAGTAGTTGTGCCAAAGGATGAAGGGCTTAAAAGGGAAATCTTAGAAGAGGCACACCGATCAAAGTTTACGGTACATCCAGGAGGGAATAAAATGTACCAGGACTTGAAGAGTCTGTATTGGTGGGAGAACATGAAGAAGGAAATTGCCCAATTTGTCCAAACATGTTTAATTTGTCAACAAGTTAAAGCCGAACATCAGAAACCGTCAGGACTTTTGCAACCCCTAGAAATACCTGAGTGGAAATGGGAAAATATCACTATGAATTTTGTATCGGGATTACCCAGAACGCAGAGAGGCCATGATGCAATTTGGGTAATAGTGGATAGATTGACTAAATCGGCCCATTTTCTGCCGATTAGCATGAAGTACCCGTTGGAAAAGTTGGCCAAATTGTATTTGGATGAGATCATTAGGTTGCATGGCATACTTGTGAGTATTGTGTCCGACAGGGATCCGAGATTTGTTTCAAGATTCTGGCAAAAGATGCAGGAGGTATTGGGGACTAAGTTGAACTTTAGTACCACTTATCATCCTCAGACTGATGGACAGTCAGAAAGGACAATTCAAACACTTGAGGACATGTTAAGGACATGTATTCTGGACTTTGGAGAAAATTGGAGTAAGTTTTTAACTTTAGTGGAATTTGCCTACAACAATAGTTTCCACTCTTCTATTCAGATGGCCCCGTATGAGTCACTTTATGGTCGAAAATGTAGGTCTCCAATTTGTTGGGAAGAAATAGGTGAACGGAAGATTCTAGATCCGACCACAGTATCTTGGATTGAAGAAGCTAATGAAAAGGTAAAGTTGGTACGACAAAGAATTCAGGTTGCTCAGAGCCGCCAAAAGAGTTATGCTGATAATCGGAGGAAAGAATTGGAGTTTAATGTTGGAGATTTGGTATTTCTCAAGATTACACCTCTGAAAGCAAGGTTGAAGTCTGGGAAAGGAAAGAAGTTACAACCAAGATTTGTAGGACCTTATAAGATTATCCAACGTGTGGGGAATGTAGCCTATAAGTTGGAATTACCGCCGAGTTTATCTCGAATCCATAATGTGTTTCATGTATCTATGCTTAAGAAGTATCATCCGGACCCTTCTCACGTCTTACAACTGGAAAATGTTGAGATTGATGAGACCTTAACCTATGAGGAGAAACCGGTTACACTTCTGGATAGGAAGGTAAAGGAATTGAGGAATAAACAGATACCATTAGTGAAGGTCCTCTGGAAGAACCATGGGTTGGAGGAAGCAACTTGGGAGGTCGAAGAAGCAATTCGAGAAAAGTATCCAGACCTGTTCGTCAATCAAGGTAAATTTCGAGGACGAAATTGTTTAAGGGGGAGAGGATGTGAGGATTCGAAATTTCTATTATTTTAAAATCCCTAATTTTGGCTCAATTAATTATTTATTTGGATTTTTGCCACGAATAATATTTTCTAGCCTATTAGATCTAAGTACATGATTTTATAGTTCGTTATATTTCTAAAGTGTCTCATTTTAAAAAATAAAATAAAATAAAAATATAGATGAATAAACAAATATTTTCATAAAAACTTAATTAGTGAAAAAGTGAAAACGTATTTCAACTTTAGCCAATTGGGAGTGCAATAAGCTAAAAATTTAAGACATATACAATGGTCCTAAAATAGACAATTTTAGGTTTAAACACACAAGTAATAACTAGTGGTACAATCGTTATAAGAATTTTTCAAAGGTTTCAATTTTATTGCGCCTAAATTAGAAATACGTGTTTTCACGTGCGCGCTTAATTGGGAGACTTTAGACCATTATTTTGAGACAACTAGGAATGAATAATATTTATACAAATGTAAGTGCCCTAGAGGTTTAGTGTACTAGTGCAATAAACGTAAGAGAAATCGAACACAAAACGCGAGTGTAGGGTACTAGTTATAATTGATTTGACGTATTAAAAGATTTGACGTCAAGCGTCTCTTATACGCAAAGGCTTCGGAACCGCAATTCATTTCCTTTCCTCTGCTGCAATGGACGGCTAGACTGCAGCAAAGGAACAACCGAAGCTTCACCATTTCTTCTCTTCCAAAACTCAACCAAATTCCTACCAAAACTTCCATAGTTTCTCACCAAACTTCACATTCATTTAACTTTTCACTTGGACAACAACATAGGCTGAAAAAGGGAGGAGCTTTCACGGTTTCTTCAAGCTTCAAAGGACCAAAAAATCTGTCCAAACCAGCCATCAAAGTAGGTAGCAATCTAACACCTTCAACTTGTCTTATGGAAGTTGATTTACGCATTTGAGTTGGAATCTTTACTTTAATAGCTTGTATTGTTGGAAATGTGGGCTCTATGAACTCCCACTTTGGGTTGATGGCTGTGATGATGTTTGATGATGGTTTATTTTCTGAATTAGAGCTTAAGGAAGTAGATTAAAGGTGCTTTGTTACCAGAAACGTTATTGAACTCTTGAAACAAAAAGTTTCCATTTTACCCCTGCTCTGTTCGGTCACTTAAATGCACAAATTTGAGGATTTAATGGCTTTATTATGTTGTATATATGTTGTAGTAGTTGTGTACAAAATTTCATTGAAAAATATTGAGTTTTGATGGGTCAAATGAATTTATTTCCAAAGCTAGTAATCTGGGAAAACGGTTGCCGTCGTAACCAGACCAGTGTTCGTGTTTCGTCCATAACTCCGTACTCCGACTTTGAAATCAAGTGCTGTTAGCGGAATTTGAAACTAGACGTTCCCATGTTTCCAACGGTGTATAGTGTACATTCTGGTTTCATGTGTGTGAGCCACACCATTCATCTGAAGTCGGCTGTGCTGTTTCTCTGTTCTGCCGAAATGATTTGATGATGCTGCAACTTGAGGCTTGATTTTGAACTAGTTGCATGCTGAAACTTGTAACGATTTCTTCTGTAAAGTTGTAGCCCTGTGAATTTATTTTCTAACACTATCAACCATTTCCAATTCTGAGTTAAATTGAGAGAGTTATGATCAAAATACTGCGACTGCCTCATTTTTGAAAACCTTAGCTTTGGACAGATTGCCTTAAGGATTTTTCCAAACTTTGGTTGATTGAATGACCACCCTTCCGAGGGTATTTTTCCATGAAATTTGATAGAGGGATAACCTTCATATGGAAGTATTATACTGCAAAATTTGGTGTCAATCCAAGTCCGTTTAGGCACTTAACTAAAGGTCCAAAGTTGGAACCAAATCTGGAAATTTTGTAACAATCTTGAATTTTCCCCAACTTCGAGCTACCGTATCTTGGTACTCGAAACTCCGATTCTTGAGCCGCTTGGTCCATCCAAAACTTTACTTGCAGTTCTAATGAGTTATAAGTTTCAAGGGCCGGTTTCCAACGAGTGATTTTTGCCCAATTTCCAAAATTAGCGAAAAACCAACCCGGCTCAATCCTAGCAATCTAGAACAGTAACTTTAGGCTCATTTTTGAATACCTTCCACTTAGATTCATGGAACGGTGTCTTCTAAGAACTTTTAGTACTTTCAAAGACGATTCCAACGGTACCAAATTCATCAAGTTTCGATTAGCAGAAAAGAAGTTATGATTTTTCAAAGATTTGACCAAAAATCAAAAATTCTGAAATTTCAAAGGAAATCCGTGAAGGAACAATTTTCCAGAATCCGGCCTTGAATCCGGCCAGAAACTGGCCGGATTGTCGGCCGGATTGGTGGCCAAAATTGAAAAAAGGGGGTTAGCCACTGCCTCCAATCCGGCCAGAAATCCGGCCGGATATCCGGCCAGGTTCCGGCCGGATTGTGACGTGGCCAACCTTCCTTCGATTTCGATCGTTCGTTTTGCAATCTTTTCGCTCGTACTTGTTTCCAACCAATGATTTTAAGGATAATAATCCAATTTTTGTACTTAAGTTTTACACCCTTTTGAGAATTCAACTTCAAAGGCAAGTCAAACGAAGTTTTCAATTATTTTCGAACCTTACTCGTGTTCAATCTTTCTCACCACTTGGGGACCTACAGTAATTATCTAATATACGATGTTCAGGCACGCACGAGGACCTCCAAGAGGACCCTACTGTGGAAGTTTGAACTCTCCCTCCAACCTACTAGCTTGCATAACTTGGTGAGTGTCAAGTGTATTCCTACTTGAACTCTAAAGTCTTGATTCATGCTTGATTCACCTGATTTCATGCTTAGCTTAACTGATTTTGACAAAATGGAGTCGAGTGTGTACTTGATCGCACTCGTTCTCATTTGAAACAAATGACTCATGCTTAACATGATTTGCTTGGTTTACATGACTTGAAATGCCTGCTTAAACCTATCAAATGCTTGAATACATGAAATGGTATGCTATGATTGCATACGTCGATGGAGTGAATCTCCTCGACATTTACATGACACATGGGGGACGCCCAAACTCATAGGCCGACCTTGGAACTCGAGCCGGCATGGGCTTGGTCGGGAACCTCGGTGAACCATGAGATTCAAATGATAAGCTTGATCTATTGAGAGATCTCGCTTGGCATACTCGTAAAGTATCGCCTTATAAATGTCGTGCGGGCCCGAAGTGGTGTATGGTGGACGGATGGGAAGTAAGTGGTGAACTACGGATATGAAAATATCAATCCGGTTGACGGAGAGTCATCACGGAAAGATATATAAATGGTATCGGCAAATGTGGAACTTAGCTCCTGAGAGCTTCTATATCCTTGAATTGTTTCTGGTTACAGTTTATTGGTGTTATTAATTACTTGCAAGCTAATACCTGAATTGTTATTTAGGATTGTTATCTGAACTATGTGTTTGCATGTGTGTTCTTGGCCTCACGAGCGTTTTGCTCACCCTGTAGATTTGTTTTCCTTAACAGGTTGAGTTCAGAGGTAAAATGGAGCAGCCCTCTTGATGTGCTTTTGTTTTAGGGTTGCTATTACTTTTGTTTATGCCTTTGGCTTTGGACGAAATATATTATGTATGCTGACGGGTGGTTTGAAGAATGGATAACTGTTATTAAGTTTGAACACTTTCGCAATTATTGTATCTAAGTTATCGATTTGTATTGTGTGGTCCGGATATAAGTTGAATGGAATTGCTTGAGTCCTGACGAGAGTTAGGCAGGCGTCCCGCGGATACCCTTTGGTTCGCCTTAGGGAGAAGTGGGGGCGTCACAGATACTCAGTCCGAGTCTAAAAACATAATTTTTCATGTGTTGACATCCACATGATGGCATCTATTTGTGGGATTACCTGGCATTAGAAACAATTGAAGGTTTCCTATAGTTATTGATCCAATTGAATTAGTGAGGAGAAAATATATTATTTGGTCTTGTGTGGACTTTGGAGCAAAATATTGAATTTTACCCTTTTATGCTTTCTCGCATGCGCATTCACACATACACACACATTTATTTATAAACACACTAGCCTCTCTCTTTTACCCTTTTATGCCTGCTGGCACGTACACATGCACATACACATGTTCGCATGAGTATTGAGTACGCAAAGAGAGAGATTGGTATATACTATTGCTTTGTATGAGGCATGAGAGTGGGAAGGGACAACTTTTAGCAAACGCAAAAGAATTGTTATGTTTCTAAAGATTGTAGCCTTTGTGTGTAGAATTAGTACTTGTGATTGCAGGGGATCGATCCCGTGACTTAAACTATTGATGCCAGTTAAGTAACTATCCATTCGCTATTGTCATTCGGAAATTAGTTTACAATTATCCATTTTTCCTCAAAACAAAAAATTCCTACATGAAAATCTTTTGAAAGTTACAAACAAGTGCATTATGTCTTATACGAAGTATGGATAGTAAACTATTGAACAACAAGTAATCTGTCTAGCTTATTTACAATAATAGTTTGCTTTGGTATGAAACCAATTCTTGATAGAGGGAAACATCTCGTGAGAGTCCGCCAAAGAGTCCAATATGAAAGTTAGAAACCCAACTTTGATTCAAAAACTTAAGCCAATAGGCCTTGGGTCCTTATTTAAATATTAACGATTCTTTTTCCATCTCTCGGACCAATGTGGGATGTAATCTTTTTACTCATAAACCTAACACCTCTAATGTATACGAGTCATTTTGTAGAAACATTTAGAACCGTAGCTGGTGCTTTCTCTGAGATTACTTTTTCAGATGACCAATAACAAAGAAATTCCATTTAGTTGTACATATAATTCCATTCAAATGTCACTGATATTGAAAGTGAGTTATAACAAAAGCACTAGCCTCGTCAGCCGTAAAACAAATCAGAAAAGTTAGTTATAACAAAAACACTAGCCTCGTCAGCCGTAAAACAAATCAGAAAAGTTGTGTGTTTATACATATATACACATATATATATATATGTATGTATGTATATATGTGTATATGGATTGTGTTGCACATGATTCATCAAAGGAATTAGCTATAACAAAAATACTGAACTTGTCATAAAACAAATCAGAAATCGAATGTTATCCCTTCAATAAAATTCCATGTGTAATGATCAAGACAACTTATCAGCCACAAATTCAGTTGGGCCTCCCACTAGAATATGTTAGAGTAGGAATAGAGTAGGTCATGATGATTGACAAAAAATAAATTATATCATCTCTCTCTCTCTCTCTCTCTCTCTCTCTCTCTCTCTCTCTCTCTCTCTCTCTCTCGTACAGGAAAATATATCCTCTCTTGCTTTTCTTAAAGGGACAATTTCAGAAACCTCCCCTCAGGTTGTTAATAATGTCATTGAACTCCCTCAAGGTTATAAAAATAACATTTACCTCCTTCGCCCACATAAAATGACAATATTATTTTTAAAATTTTAATAAAACTCTCTTGTTAGATATACTTTTACAAAGAATGGTATTAATAATTATTTTTCTTTTCCTTTTCTATTCTTATTCCTTCTTTTTATATTTTGCCAATAAAACCATAAAATATAATCATTGACACCATAAATGTTGTACTAATGACATTTTTTATGACTTTGAATTTGATCTAATTTTTACTTGCTGATTTTTTTTGGTACCAAAAGCAACATTAACTCAAAAAAAAAAGCCCAAAATTTCCACCAAGCTATGATAGTTCCACGAATGCAAAATTCTACAAACTTTAAAAGAATTATGATGGTACTTTCTTTTTCAAATTAAAAAATACATACCCTGGTAAATCACCATTAAAAGTAGTTTATCATAGTGATAGAACTATTGTCATCTTTGCTTATCAAATAATAAATATGGCATTAAAAACTTCTTTCTGTACATTTTGGAATATTCATTAAAAATTTTGACCAAGTCTAAGGTTTGGTTGCCAAAAAGTGTCAAATTAGGGGAGGTAGGTGTAATTTTTGAAACCTTAAGGGAGCTCAGTGAAATTGTTAAAAATCTTAGAGGAGGTTTATGAAATTATCCCGTTCTTAAATCTCACCTTCTTAATTGTCTTTATGAGGAAAATTAATAAGCCATGTCACCGTGAGATGATGATAAAACATCCATCCTTGCATGCATCAAAAATTAGTTAACATCTAAAGCATTGTGCGTTGTTATTATATATTGGATATTCTTTACTTTTTATTTACATTTTTTTTAACATTGTCGAGAAACTCTAGATCAGTACTCAAGGGAATTGAAAATCCTTGCCATCAAGGTCCTTGAGCAAATGACAAAAGCATTAGGAATGAAGCTTGAAGATATGACAATGCTTTTTCAAGAAGGGATGCAATCAATAAGGACGAACTATTGTCCTCCATGTCCCCAACCTGACATAGTGATGGGCCTTTGCCCCCACTCTGATGCTGCTGGGCTACCACATTACTTCAAATCAATGACGTGGAAGGCCTCCAAAACAAAAAGGCTGGAACTTGGGTTGCTGTTGTACCGCATCCTAAAGCATTCATAGTCAATGTTGGAGACATTACAGAGGTAATCATGCTCAAGATCCTTTCTCCATAGATGTAATGGGAGTATAAACAATCTCTTCGAATTGCTTTTCTGTTTATATAATTACAACATCTATCTAGTTTTTTATGAGATAATTTCAAATTGGTTTCTACAATTTTGACCATATATGGCAACTAGATTGTCCTTCCCATATTTTAATAGGATTCAAGAGATAATCTTTCCGATTATGATTAGTATGCCTACACTAGGTTGATGTAAGACTAATTATCAACTTGCACCGCCTAGAAAATTAGGCCAGGTCAAAGTGTAGCTTTCATCCCAAAATTTAACTTTTGACAAATTTGTGCCTAAACTTCTAACTTCGGCTGCTTAGTCAGAGTTAAACGAATGTTGTTTATTGATAGAATATTGGCTACTTTAATGGAACACGTATCTTTGTAAAGTCAAAAAAAGCATAAAATATATAGATGAAAAGGTCTTTATATTGAAAAAGCAGTTTTATTCATATTAGTAACCAATTTAATTAATTAATTACTTCATTATTCGAGTAATATTGCCCAAGAATGTAAAACTTGGGCATAATAACTTCAAAATTAGTATTGTACATGCCCTTACACCCCACCCTCCAAATTATTGCTTACCTGTGATGTACGAGTGGTGAAATTCAAACTACTTTCCTTTCATCATTTTGAAAAAAATACTTACTCTTTTTCCCAACAAGTTTGTTTTGATTTTCAGAAAGGAATTTACTTTTTGTCTTGATTTCAATGCTAATTACAGGAGTTACTTACAAATCATGTCCTGGATCTATCAGGGTATAGCTTCTGAATTCTATCTTCAATGTTTTTGGGGCATAACAGTAGCTATAGGTGGACTCACAAGATTACCCTGTTAACCATATCGTATTATTGAGCCTAATTGAGCTTTTATGAGAATGTATGCTACATAGTACACAGTTGGGAAAAATGTGACGTTTTTGAACTGAGATGCAAATTGTGCCAAACGGAATTTACAAGAGTGTTGAGCATCGGGCAACTGTGAATTTGCACAACGAAGGGCTTTCCATTGCAACGTTTCTTGTCCCAAAACTGGATTGTGATATGGGTCCAGCGCCAAGTCTTATCACCCCTGAAAATCCAGCAATTTTCAGAAGAATTAGTATCATTGACTATTTAAAAGCGTTTTTTTACCGTGAACTAGATGGGAAATCATTCGTTGACGCATTGAGGACCCAAATCGAAGACTTTTAGGCTCTTAGTCCCTTTATGATATTTCTCTTTGAAACTTGTGTACACTGTTGATATGGTGTCCCCTCACCATTGCCTCCCCCAACTTTCATTCACCACAAATTGTATAATTGTTTAAGAATTAATCCCGTATACATTGATACTATTTATGCTATTAGATTCGAATGCATGACAACTAATATTAATTTAAATTTAAAATTCAAAATTTGAAACAAATAGTATGTATTGCTAATAATGTATACATTATTAATATAAAGAAAATTAATCTATTTTTTAAATATGAAAGAGAATGATGAGTAATTGTATGTGCTATCAACGATGCATTAGAAGTCATTCTTTATGCCAGATCTTGATAAGGGGAACCCAAAAAAAAAAAACAAAAAAAACTCTTTGCTATTTTACCTTTTCCCTCTAGTACTTATTTTACGCACAATTATAAATCTTTGAATATATTGCTATTCCATAAGTTTGATTTTCGTTTATTTCATATTGTATTCACTGGCATAACTTCGCTCCTTCGAATCTTACCCCATCAACATTGTGGAAATTTAGCCAGATGAAACCGATTGGGAATGTTTTAAAAGACGAAAGTGTTAGGCTGATGGCCCCAATTCTAACTTCTAAGCGGACATCTCACTATTCCTTTTATTTTTCCCCCTAAAAGTTAAAACGTCAACTTCCAAGTGGGATACGGGGCAGGAGCGGTCCTCAGACGACCGCTCCTGAACGGTCTCCTCACAGAAAGAAAGGTAAGGCCAGAAATAAACCACGTCAAAAGGCTTCAGTTTGGCCCAAAACGACGTCGTTTTATTAGGTGA